CCCCCTTCCTTCCCGCAGCAAATGGAAATGGGGCGACAAGTCTGGGAGGGCAGTACGACGGGGCAGAGGCGGAGGAGGTCCTCTGATCCTTGAAAAGGAATATTATGATAGGGAGTCGTCGGGAAGGAAGGGGACGGAACAGTTATGGGGGGCAGGAGGCGAGTTTCCCACAAACTCCTCCAATGTCAGTCCCTGGGCCCACCACTTCCGTCAAGGACGAACGAGAGAGCGGGCTGGTACCGTCGCCCACCCTTCCCCAGGGCCTGTAGCCCTCCTCGTCCCTTACCTGGCTCAGAGCGCAGCCCGGGCCAGAGGAAGGTTCTGGAAGAAGTTCCTCCCACCCCCTGCGGCTCTCTGCCCCCAGCTCGAGGGCCCTGCCAGCGCCTCTCGCTGCCCCCCCCCGCCCGACGGCGCTTCTCTGAGCGACCGCGGCCCTGGGACCGGCAATAAGTAGCCGCTCCAAAGGCTTCTCCTGCTGCCATGGCGACGCTCCGCCCCCATAAACAGCTTCCGCCGCTGCCATTGGCCAGCACGTCTCCAAGGATACCGCGGGCACTTGCCACTCTCTCTGGCGGCAACTCTCTTCGAACTCCCTCCTTCTGCCGCCCTCTCCCGCGCCACCCAACCCCCTACCCGCCGCCGCGTCCCGTCTCGGCTCTTTCCCGCCCGAGGGCCCCGCGCTGGGGTCGGAGAAGCGCGCGGCCCGCAGCCCCCGGAACCGCTATGGATCCGTTCGTCCTGGGGAACCACGACTCCTGCCCTCACCCGCTTCCAGTCCGGGTGGCTCTGAGGCATTGACTGCTTCTGGGACAGAGCCTCGGGTTGGGGGGCTGAGGCTGGGATCGGGCTTAGGCTTAGGAACCGTATCCTTGAGGTTTTCTTTCCTCTCCGCTGCGAGTGGCACTTTCTCAAATTTCTGCGGCCTTTCCCTCTCCCCCGACCCTTAGTATCTCTCTCTGGTGCCCCAGGCAGGTCTGACTCTCCGATGCCACCTGCCGCTTACATCCATAGAGGCGGCAGACACACCAGGCGGTAGGGTAATCCAGTGTGTCCCGGTAGGCAGCCCCGTCCCCACCCCTATCCTCAAGGTTCCAGGAAGCTGACATTCTAGAGGCCTCTGCAGAAGTGCACTCACTCTTTTGGAGACAGCTGATGAGGCAGAGCCCAAGTCATGGACTTGTCAAATTCTTCTAGCAGGGCCTTTTGGCCAATTAATTTCACCAACCTTTAAGTGACAGGGATTAAGGGTAGAGGGACTCTAGGGACTGTGGCCCTTCTTCCTCCCTTCCCCTGGCCTCCATCCTGTCACCAGCTTTCCTGCTCTTTAATTATTGAGGAGCTGCAGGGTTGGAAGTTCTCCGGTTTAAGGCGGCTGCAGAGGCAGTGGTGGGGGCTGGGTTGCTTACCCAGCCTCTGCCCAGGTGCTAGAGAGCTGGAGCCAGGAAGGCTGGTGCCCAGGCCACGAAGAAGGCCCGGCAATGGTGCATCTCTCCCCCGCCAACATGCCTTTCCCTAGCCCTTGCCTCTCCCACTCCTCCAACTCCAAATCCTCTTGAGTAAAAATATTAGAGTACTGGAGAAAGAGAAACTTACAGATAAGCTCACTTTGCAGTTAGTTAGTTCTCCTTCCCTTGTAAACAGTTTTATTCATTTTTAAGAATCATGCAGCAATCCATAAATATTGCATTCTTGCTGTCCCCACTGTAGTGTGTCCACAAGTGTACCCCAGGGAGAGGGGTACACAGATGGCACAAGCAGTATACACGTGCACACACCAGGTGTGCAGACCAAAGCAAAGTGAGCAACCAGCGTGCCAGCCCCAGGTGGGCAATATCCTAACTCCCCAAGTGAGATGCATTAGAGTGTGGGGGTCTGTGTCCAAGAGATGCCTCAGTGGGGGTGGAAACTCTGGTGGGATGGAACTGGGCAGAACAGGGCTCCGTGAGGAAGCTGGGATCACACCACCTGAAGGCCATAGGGAGAGCACAGGCCTAGTGCAGCAGGAAAGAGCCCTGAGTCTCCAGAGTTAGGCTGTGCCCTGTGGGAGAAGCCAGGCCCCACCTCTTGTCTGTGGGCGAACCGTGGAAGTGACTATGTGACTGTCTCCAGATGAAGGACTGGGGCAAATGGGTTGACCACTGACCTGTCCTAATCAGGCTGACTGAGGACTAACTCTTTGGATGGTGTATTTCTGCTGGCCAGACAGCTAAATGACAGCTAAGAGAAGGTGGGGGAGGGAGGAAGAGGAGAAATTGGAACGGAGAAACAAAGGACATTTCTAACCTAGGTACGCTGTGGACATGGGACTGAGGCCTTGAGGAATCTTTCTGCGCCTCTCCCTAGGAGAGGACTGAGCACTTGCTGCGAGGAAGGACACCTCCAGGAAGGGGGTCCTGGCCACTGCAGCTACTGTTTACCTGAATCTCCTTCATCTCAGCTGTTTCCTCCCTCCTCCCAGGTAACACCACACTGTGAATACTACCTGCAGGGGACAGGACAGGAGGTGGTCTGTGTGCCACCACTATCCCTGCTGCTTCTGGGCTCATGTTTCAGGGAAATCAGGAAGTGGGGTTATTGCTCAGCTTATGCATCTTTTTGAGACGGAGTTTCACTCTTGTTACCCAGGCTGGAGTGCAATGGCGCGATCTCGGCTCACCGCAACCTCCGCCTCCTGGGTTCAGGCAATTCTCCTGCCTCAGCCTCCTGAGTAGCTGGGATTACAGGCACGTGCCACCATGCCCAGCTAATTTTTTGTATTTTTAGTGGAGACGGGGTTTCACCATGTTGACCAGGATGGTCTCGATCTCTTGACCTCGTGATCCACCCGCCTCGGCCTCCCAAAGTGCTGGGATTACAGGCGTGAGCCACTGCGCCCGGCGAGCTTATGCATCTTAACTATGAAAGGGGCTGGAAGAATATTGGGGGAAGGAAAGGACATTAGGTGGGGCCTGAAATGGCGGAGTCTACTGTAGTACTTCAGAGAGGGTGGACAACAGGCTCCCCTTCATCAGGGCAGGATGTGAGCCACAACCACTAGGCAGTGTGACAGTCACCACACTCCTGGCCTCTGCAGCCACACAGGAGCAAAGGACCTCCTGGGCACCAGGCTCTTTTTGAGGCTATCGGGCTCGGAAACAGCCTTGAAAAGGTTTTTAGGGTAACAATTCCAAACCCTAAGACAAGTCCACCACAATGGGCATAGCCTATAAGGCTCTCCCACATCTCAACCTTACAAATAATAGTTGTTTCTAGCTTTGCTTCCCAAATACTCTCATGCCCTACTAAAGAACCTTCTTTCCAAAGGCCAGTAGACAACACATGTAAGAGCCACATGGAATTCACTGGGATGCAAGTGCTGAGGAAGGGGGGCAGCTACCACCTCACAGTCCAGACGTGCTGTTTTGGCTCTTGTATTTGTGCCCTTGCACTGGGCTGGGGCGGGGAGGGCACATGAACAGAACATGATCTTTGAACTGCCAATCAGCATGTGACTGGCCCCATCTCCCCCTTTACTAATTAGGCTCAGCAGCTCTGGAAGGCAAGGGAGGAACATGTGGAAGATGGACGGGGCCCCTGAGTGACAGCCCTGAGCCCTGACTCCAGCCTCTGCTCCCGGCTCACTGCCGCTGGCTGCATGCTGCTGCCTGAACTTCGCTCAAGCCTCTCCACCACCTCCTGTGGGGACCTGGGCACCAAACTGAGAATCACTGGTCCGTATTTCTCCTCCACCATTAACAAAAGGGGATAGAGATGGGGGCAACAGGGACAAGAATGCCACCTCCTGGGTGAGTGAGGATGAATTACAATATAATATGTGACCACTCCTCACCCAGTACTTGGTACATAGAGAGGTCAACATGTGTTTCTTGAAATGTCACCTTAGGATGGAGTCCTAGGCCTCCCTGAATGCACCTGATCAGGAGAAATGCTCCTTAAGAGAAATCACCTTAACTGGGGGATTCTCAGATTCAAGGGCTCCTTCGTAAGCAGGCCCGGGAGACTGGCTCTGCTCCCAGAGGAAGGACTGTTTCTTTCAATCAACTTTTGGCTGCTACCATTTCTTGTCCTCGAGAAAGGCACTCCTAGTGCCTGTGGAGGGAAAGGCCACATGCGTGCAGTATGGCTCTCCTTTCCACAGGAGCCGTCCCCCAGCCCCATCCCAAACTTCAGGTTTTCAATTGCTTACGGTGTGCCAGAGACCAGGAAATGCCAGAGGGATGTTTATAACAAAGCTGCCAAAACTCTAAGCCTTCTTGTTCTACCCCCCTAAGGAGAAAAAAGATGCGTAAGAAACAACTAGCCCATGGACCCCAGCTCCATCTGAACGTCAAGATACCATGGGGACATTCCAGAGTCCCTGCAAAGGGTCTCATGAGCTGCAGTTCATTGAGTGGCTTTAGGCCACGGGAGAAAGGAGGGCTCCAGTCTCCTCTTAGAGGTGAGGGATTGTGGTTACAGGCTGTATGAGCTGTCACAGGAGGGTGAAAAGTCCAGCCTCTTGCTGAGGATGCCCAGGAGGCAGCAGCCGAGTGAGGATGGATGGAATGCAGGGGCAGGAGGGAAGCCCACGTGCAGGGGCCAGGGCTCAGACAGCCAAAGGGCCCCACACGCAAGGCCTCGTCTCAGAGTCCTCCAGGCTGCTGGATGACAAGCGCCGGCGCTGGGCATTACATCGACTGACGGCATTGTCATCAGCCTGCCAGGTACCTGGGGAAGAGAAAATGAACATTACAGGGGCCAAAGCTTTGGCCAGGTCCAGATGGTGTCTCCAGCAGGGCAGCCCAGGAGTCAGCATGGAAGGAGCAGGACGAGTGTCACCTGAGACCCCTGCAAGGGCGCGAGCCACAGCACATCTGCGCGAGAACAGAGAGAAGCAGGTGCAGACAGGTGCAGGGGCTGCTCCTGCCCCCTGGGCTAGGTACAGTCACTGCCACTGTGGCTCCCGGACAGGGAGGATGCTCCTTGTTTTGTGAACTTACCCTAGGATCCACTTTAGTATTTTAATGAATGAGAGGTTCTTATTTTGCCCAGGTTGGCCTTGAACGCATAGCCTCGCCTCCTCAAGCGCCAGGACAACTGGCCAGAGCCACCGTGGCTCCCCCACTTTGGTATTTTAAGTTCTTGGTTTGAAAGTTTGCCTATGTTACGATAGACAGGAAAGGGAAATAGGGCCTCGCTGAGCTATTTTCATCGGGACAGGAAGAGGTGGGGGGAAGTGAGAAGACTATGTTCGTTCTGGTCCAAAGTGTTAATGTTTTCTGCAGGGGCCAAGGTGGAGCAGGAAAGGACTGGCCACCCAGCAGGGTTCCTGGGACGGAAGGCCACATGGAGGGAGGACAGTGTGAGGCCCCAGCCCCCCTCACCTGCCATTTTCCTCCTCCTGCACCTGCGCAGCTGTTGAGGATTGCTACTAGGTGGTGCCATCAGCCCAGCAGACACCAGCCTGAGAGCCTCGGGTCCCACAGGTACCACCACTGAACGCATCCTCTCTCTTAAATCTGCCGCTGCTCCCATGTGAGGAGTGCCAGTGCCCGTCTGGAAACCCATTCTTGGTGCTTTTCTTTCCTTTGTGCTCCGCATCCAATCCTCCACAAGCTCCTACGGGCTCACTTCTAGCCATGTTGTGATGCCATCTGTAGTCACACTAACTGGGCTCCACTTCCAGTTTACAACGGTGTGATCTTGGGCACATCAATTTACTGTGGGCCTTGGTTTTCTCATCTATCAGATGGGAGATAAGTACTGACCTCACAGGTTTGCTGTGAGGACTAGAGAATGCAAGTGCTGGTGAGAATCCTACTCCTAAAACAGCCTGTGCTCACACTCCTGCAGGCCACCTCACCTTTCCCCTCGGTGTCCTCTTCATCTCCCGCCCACAGATGAGCTGGCTCCCTCCAGTGCCCTCCCTCCAGGGAGGCTAGAACGCTCCTGCCTTGGGCCTTGGCCGCCTCTGCTCTCAGGGCCCCCTGGCATCCTGGGGTAGGGAAGGCATGTCATCCTCAGGACCCTATGGGCCTCCCAAGACACGTCTCCCAGTTCCCTCCCCTCACGAGGCATCTCTGGCCGGGAAAGGCCAGTGTGCTCTGAAGTGCTCCCTGCAGCCTGAACTACGGCTCCACGCACACCTCACATGGCGGAAACCGCTGAGTCCTAGAGCTCCTCCATGGGCAGAGGCCATGACTTTTCCACTGCTGTGGTCCAGAGCCCAGCAGGACACCTGACCCATAGGAGGACCTGTTCGGGGAACAAGGCTGACCAACTGTAGAGTGTGGCCGTGAGGTTGAGAGAGGCCACTCCCAAGTGTCCTGAGTCAGCCTCAGGCCAGCCCAGGAAGCGCTTTAACCCCCGTGGAGTCAGCAGGTATAAATGGCTTACTTCCCGTCAATGCCTTGGCCTGCTAATCACCCTCAGGCTCTAACAACAGTCTCTGGTGCTAGACCCCAGGGGAAGAGTGAGAACTGGAGAGTCTTGGATCTTCTCACATCCAAACTGAATTTGGGATCTTGACTCCCTGGGGGTGTGTACTGGAGCCTGGGACATTAGTCAAGGTGTTTTTTCACCCCTAGTGGTGGCACTGTGTGTCTAAATGTGGCAGGATGAATATAAGGCTGTTAATATTGCCTTTAAAGTGAGAAACCCAAAATAAAATGAGCTGTTTGTTCATTGATATAATTTGGTAGATCTCATACCTATTCCTCAATGTTTATGGGGCAGGACTCCGGAGCTGCGGCTGTTCAGTAGGAAAGACCAAAAGCAAATGGTAAACAAGAGAGAAGACACACATGCATGCACAAATAAAAACAACAGCACCGTCACCGCCGCCACCGCCACCGCCGCTGCCACCGCCGCCGCTGCCACCACCGCCGCCACCAGCAAGCCATAAAACGCTGGGCCTGAGGGGCTGCCCAGAGAGCCGCCCTGACTCTGAATTCACAGGAGTCCTTGCAACAAACGCCACCCTTCTAATCTAGAAGCGTAAGCCAGGGCAGAGCATCGGTTACTTATGGAAAACTCAAGAATCAGATCTGAAGTCTCTCCCGGCCTCTCGGTATGCTCTGCGGTGAGGGAGATTCAGCAGCAAGAGGGGTGACTTCCCACTGGCCAGGACCCTGAGGGGCTCACGGCAAAGCCCTGCTGATGCTCTCTCCTCGGCCTCATTCCCACGACGAGCCCGGCTGTGGAAGGCCAGTCTGGGTGCTGAGGGGCCTTCCAGGGCAGGTGCCGCCATTTTGTCCGGCTGAACCCAGGCCCCTCCAGCCAGAAAATGGAGTGTGGAGATTTAAAATCCTTAGAGGGAAATGGATAAAGGTGCTTTCTATTCATTTCTCATTTTGGGGAGTCAGAAATGGGAGTATGAAGAGACCTCTAGAGGTAGATTTTGGGAGCACATTTAGGAAAATTTCACAAGCCCCTTTCCTGCTTCTACCAAGCCACTAATTAAATGTAAGGACTGTAACAGCTCAATGGTCTTTGTCGAGTTTCTCTCCAGGGGAGGGAGAAGCTTGGTTTGAATTTTTCCTTAGTGCCCACAAAGTGCAAACTTTCCTAGTAGCATTTTAGTTTTGGGTTCTGAGGCTTCTCAAAATGAAGAGAGAATTTAATTTGGTCTCCATAAGCCTTTCTAGATTTCACTGGATATGCTCATTCCCCGCAATGCAATAATTTAAAAATTATATTTGTATCTCCACTAAAAAGACCAAAATTATCTTTGCCTTTTTTTTTTTTTTGAAGACAGTCTCACTCTGTCTCCCAGGCTGGAGTGCAGCGGTGTGATCTTGACTGACCGCAACCTCCGCTTCCCAGGCTCAATCGATCCTCCCACCTCAGCCTCTTGAGTAGCTGGGACTACAGGTGTACGCCATCAAGCCTGGCTAATTTTTGTGTTTTCTATAGAGACAGGGTTTCACTGTGTTGCCCAGGCTGGTCTCCAGCTTCTGGGCTCATGTGATCACCTACCTTGGCCTCCCAAAGTGCTGGGATTACAGGTGTGAGCCACTGCGCCTGGCCTATCTTTGCCTTTTTTCCATCACTGACTACCCCAGAGCCTTCACAGAGCTATCACTTGCCGCGATGACTATCCTGCCACCTGTGTCACAGTCCACCAAACTCCGTGGAGCCACATCTACTTAGTGTGGTCTTGCAGCTCTAGTCTTAGTATCACCTGTCACACCCGTCAACTGAGATCTTCCCCTTTACTCCTTTCAGAAGCAATCTCAGAACACACCACTCCCAGTGAAAAACCAAAAATCCACCCTTGGTCTTGGGGCCCAGGAAGACCCAGAAGCTTCTTAGGGAGAGAGGGGCTGGAATGACAAAAGTGCCTCTAAGCCCCTCACCAGTGTGACCAGAGTGGTGAGGATGGGAACCAGCAAGGTTCTCAGTCCTTGCCACCGGCTGGGTCTCCTGGCAGAGGCTGTGAGCAGGGTGCAGGGCATGGGGAGAGCATGGGAGCCACCCTGGGCTCCATTTCCCACTGGCCCTCCATGAAGGGAGTGGTACCCGCTTGAAGAGGGAAACACACTCAAGCAGAGTCCAGGCACACATGCAGCTGTCCTGACAGGGAGAGAGCTGGCTGCAGGAGCAGTGAGGCACTACGACAGCCAGTGGTATCTCGGCCCTGGGATAGAAAGCTGAACTTACAGCTGAGTGTGAAGAGGTCTATTTATTCCATGGGACCTACCAAAGTAGTTATTCCTGTCCGTAACCTACCAGATACTTCCAGAGAGCTCTCCAGCACTGTTGCTACCAGTGATGCTACCAGCAGAACCAGAGACACATTTTGCCTAGAGAGATGTGTTTTTCCCTCTCAAGTAAAAGGGGAACCAGAGGTTCTGAGATATCACTGTCACCCAACTACTGACTGAGGATGCCAATTAAAAACAAATCCTGGCTGGGCATGATAGCTCATGCCTATAATCCCAGCACTTTAGGAGGCCAAGGTGGGCAGATCATGAGGTCAGGAGTTTGAGACTACCTTGACCAACATGGTGAAACCCCGTCTCTATTAAAAATATCAAAATTAGACAGGCATGGTGGCACACATCTGTAATCCCAGCTTCTCAGGAGGCAGAGGCAGGATAATCACTTGAACCCGGGAGGCGGAGGTGGCAGTGAGCCGAGATTACACCACTGTACTCCACCTGGGTGACAGAGTGAGACTCCATCTCAAAAAAAACAAAACAAAACCAAAAAAAACAAACAAAACCAATCCTTTTCATAGTCTTTGCCACAGAAGCATTCCCATTTTTGTTGAACAGAAATTAATAGTCTCACACATTTTTTTTTCTTTCTTAGAAAATCTTAGTATATTGAATACAGTCCCTCATCTTGAGGCCCCTAGTGAGGATATAATGGGACATTTACAGTGCTGTACCCAAGGCCCTCTTCCGAGAGCCATCATAGGCATTTGATTTCATATTTGGCCCAAACTGTGAACCCACCATAGTCTCTAAACAGCTGCCTCCACAAGTCACCCTAAGGAACCCCAGAGCTGCTCTCTTCCTCCCCGTCCTTGCTCTCCTCCCGCAATCCTGTAAGTGGAGTAACTATCACCAAGCAGGTCAGCCGAGGGGAGTCAGGAAGAGGAGGGAGCAGAGGAATACACTGAGTTTCCACCAGCACTGTTGGCTAAAACAACTCCCAGCAGCTCCCTCTGCCAAAAAAATCGGGGTGGGTAAGGGAGCCCCCTGAGAGTGGCAGGAAGCTAAATTTCCCTCCTAAAGCCCAGTAAGGGGATGACCAGGATAGAGCTGCCTCAGACACAGGGCAGAGCTAAGGCAGAGACGTCATCTTCACCCAATTATGGACGGAGGATGCCAATCAAAACCAAATCCTTTCCATAGCCCTGGCCACAGAAGCATTCCCATTTTCATAGAACAGAAATTAATACAGTCTCACAAATATTTTTTCTTGGAAGATCTTAGTACACTGAATACAGGCCCTCGCCAATTAGGAATGGGAACCTTGCTCACAGCCCCGAGCGAGCGCCTCCCAGGTGTGTGCGTGGCCAGCAAGCTTGGATGGGGTGAAGCATTGGCAGGGAGGACAGTGCTGGCACGGAGTGAACATGAACTTTCATACCAAGTCTAGAGAACATACATGAGTTTAGAAAATAAACAAAGCAGACAGACAAATTTACATTTGACAGCATGATGTGAAACACAAATGGACAGATGGAAGCCAGGCCAGGAGCGGGACGGCAGGGAGTGATGCAGCCCCTGGGCCCCAGCAGCTCCAGTCCAGGCCAAACTGGCAGGAGGCTGGCCCCACGGTCAACGCTCCCTCCTTTACGCTCAGGCAGGAAGGGGGTCTTCCCTGGGCCTGTGCAGGAGCAGGGGAACCAATACTGCCTCTTTCGGTCTCACTTAATATGAAGAGGCCTGGGCAGTGTCTTTAGGACAAACTAAATAGAAAATGACTCAAGAAAGTCCTTTGAAAGGCTGGAGAAAGTGTCTCTAGAGAATTCCAGCTTCCCCTGCCACAAGCTTGTGTGGGGCCAGAGCGTGCTGGGACTGTGCTTTGCACAGGCTGATGGACAGTGGCAACCACAGAGGTCGTGTGGCTCCAACGCCTCCAGCCACGTCGCTAAGCGAGTAAAGCACTGGACCCGTGATGTGGCTGTTCTGAAGCTGAAGTGAGTCTTCGTTCAGGGAATGTTTAACAGGATTCAAACAACACAATGTGAAGGACAATGTGTTGTGAAACCGGGAGGGGACATTTGACTGAGGTCACTTGGGCAAGATGTGGATTTTAGAAAAGGAGTTTTTGGAGCCCTTGAATGGGCACATTAACTAAAAGGGCAGTCAGTGTGCAAAGTATGATGAACATTATTCTGTGTAAGACACTACCTAGATTCGGTTTAGTATCATGAAGAGGAATAACGGCACACTGACAACCTGATCACCTGTGAAGTTGCAGCTCCAGGGAGCATAGTGAAGCCCTAACTTAACCTCTCCTTTGGATCTGAATCCAGTATGTACAATGCAACTGGTAACCCAAAGCTCACTGGCTCACTGGATCAATTAGAATCATTCCTTAGCCTTTAAAATGCTTGCTTTTAGATTCCTCTCTGATCCTAGCTGAAACACATTTCTTCTGAGGAGCTACGGCTTCACTTTAAAAGGGCTCAGGCAATCCTTCCAAGACCTTCATAGAGAGGTGGTATCTGTCTGCTCAAACTTCCTGTCAATGAAAACAAGACCAGGCCACCTGACATGATACCTGCAAGGCCATGAGATGGAGTGGAGAGTGTTTAGGCCAAATCATATATTTTGCTTCTTTCTTCCTATCCTAATATTCTCACTCAGAGCAAGGATGGCTCATTGCAAAAAGCTCAGGGACTCTCCCAGGCCTTCTTACTTCCTTTCAGCAACTGTTCTCCAGCACTAGCATGCCCCAGGCCTTCTTGCCAGGAACTGCAGGGCAGGAGATGGGTGTACCAGGGTGAGAGCAGGGGTAAGAGCACAGGGATCGTCTCCCACCAAGTTCATGTTCAGCAGACTGCCACTCACCAGGTAAGCAGACCTCAGAGCACAGCTTATTGTCCAGTGCTTTCACGCTTGAGATGTCAAAGTCATTGTTATTGTCACACTCCATACCTAGAAATGCGCATGTCCTCTGGCCTGTAACGGAGTTAATGCAGTTAGAGAGGGGCTGGCTGTGTTTTTCTCTGCTTTGCTGTCCTTAAAATAAAAATCTTAAGGATGGAGACAAAAAACAAATCAAATCATATGTTAAAAAAAGACAGTAATTAAGTGGGTAAAGAGTGGACAAGAAAGGAGTCACGTTGCATGGGCATGTCTGTGTTCTTGCACTATCCTGCTGCTTCCCTAGAGCCCGTTCCACCTGCTGTTCCCTAACAAGTCAGATTGCTGAGGAGGGCTGTGGGACACAGGCTCGACAGAGAACACTGGAGCGAGCAGAGCTGGGCAGAGGCCAGGCCGTCAGGCTGCGACCGCCTGGCAGAAGCTAGGGAGGGCCAGTGGGGAGGTCATCCTGCTCATGCCTGTGTCTGCCTCGGATGTGAGCTGGGTGTGTTTATGGCCACAGGGCTCTGCAAAATAAGTACATGAAACAACAACTAAAGGTCTTCGGGTCCATAATTTTGCAAATCAAATCAGAATGACTACATTCACAAAATTATGATTTCCTTTTGTATGAGACCTGAGTTGTTATTTTCAGTGTGTTTTAAGTGACTAACCAGAAATCTACAGACATGTAAGAAGGGAAAGGAAAGGTTTTAAAAGGTGTTTTTTTTTTTTTAAATCAAATTCCCCCTTTTTTTCCTCCGTGAAACAGAGAGAAGAAAACAAATCCATTCCATGGGCTACGGAATGTCAGGTGAAACAACCTGGCCGCACTGCATTTCTTAGAAGCAGATATTCTATAAGAGAAACCATCACAAGGGGTAACTCTAGAGCCTCGAGCGCTGAAGTCATCAGCTGAGTTGATGACTCTCCAAATCTCCTTGGGCTGGGGTGTAAGAGCTGACAGAGGCAGCCTTGGCGTCCACCTCCTTCAGGCTCCTTGGCCAGGCAGGAGCTGTCAGGTCCACATGCACACCTTCAACACTCCCCAAGCGATGGCCAGCGCTGAAGCAGAAGCAACAGGATGACATCTGCTGGTGCATCTGCATCCAGGCCGGGGCACACGTGTGCTCTGGAGGTGCCCCTGCGGGAGGTGCTTCAGAGCAGCAGGGGGAAGAGTCTGGCTCATGGAACACGTGGTGTTCCCTGCTCAGGGGAACTTTCCCACCTCCCTTCTTCCTCCTATGTGCTTGCTCTGTGGGTCATTCCTTCTCTTTTAGCCTTACTAGAAACAATATTCTTCCAACTGAAGATGTAACTGAAGCCTGAATTACAGTGCGGGAAAATCATTACAACAGCCTTTAAAATGCTTGCCTAAGCTGAGCTCCTGAAGAAACTTGGACCTGTTTCCTTGACCATGCCTTTAATGTGTCTGCTGGCTCCTGGGAGTCCTCTTTTACAATAACGTCCGCCATTTTCCTAACTAAAGCAAGACCTGACCAACTGCCAAGTAGTCCTCCCCTTCCCCCCAGTGGAAGAAATGGCTACTGCTGTTCAACACTGAGTCTGCCAGAGCAGCTCTGTGGGGCTCCACTGAAAACCTGCAGCAGAGAGGCCAGCGATGGGGGCTGCTCAGAGTGCTTCCGAATCTACTTGAGGTAAATATGTACCTGCATGTATCTCTTGCCCCACCCGCACCTGACATCCTTGGCTCTGAGGCCCAGAAAGAGCTGAGGAGGTCATGGAGGTCATCAGTGCCCTGCTTGCTTTGATACACCATTAAGAAGACAGTCGTTCCTCTAACAGCCATGCAACTGAACAGTGCCACCAAGTCATACTGGTACCCTCTTCTTTATCCCTTAAAGAATACCCAGGAAGGAAAGATAATAAAAGGAAATAAAGGACCAGATCTTTTACCATCCTCCTGCGTGGGTGATCCATCCTCTTCCTCTGTAACATCATTTCCCTAGGATAGAAGGAAGGCCTTGTGAGTCTATAAAGCAGGAAAATGAGTCCACTGATTGGCTGACGACAGAACTAATCATCTTAACGGCATCTAACTCCAGGGCCTACATTACTAGCATATATTTTCATCCGTGTTTAATATGCCTGAGAGGCTGACTAGAGGCAGATCTTGCTTGGTGAGGCACCGTCTGCCTATAGGGATTAGATCCGAGCCACATTACCCATATAGGCTCAGAATGGTCTGTCAGGAACACCCTTGTTAATAGCTTAGCTGATACTGTTTCTCTAACGTGGAAGTAAAAGTTACTAAATGAAAGAGCAAATTGTGAGATCATAAAACTTTAAGAAATCTCTTAAGATCCCACACCCTATCCAGATACTGTACTCCACTGAGAGTAGCTGGCTTAAGAAGAGCTCTAGATCTCTCACTGTGAGCCGGCGTTCCACAGCACACCACGGTCAGGGCACATCTCACACTGAACTGTGGTCCTGTCTGCCTGCTGGACAGGGCTCCTAGATAGGTCCAGTGGGCTGGGGGTAGGCCCATAAGAAACCTCACCACACAGTTCTGTATAGGTCTGTATGTGCCCCAGTGCCAGTGAGCACCTGGGATACAGTCCCCCATGTAGATACTAGTGGAATGAAGGACAATACATTTTCAAGGCCAGGGGCTGGCAAGAAAAGTTCTTTCTTGAACTCATTCCACACCAGTGACCCTGAGAACCAGTGGCCCCACTCACTGGACAGTCCACAGACCCCGGTGCAGCTGCTCTCATCTCTATCCACGTTCCACTTGTGACTGATATAGGCATGTCCCCAGGAAGGCTTTGTCAGCACAGCCTCCTGGCCCTGGTCCTTACTGACATCCCCAGCCAAGGCCAGCACTCCTCTGGCTGTGGGAAGGAGCACACTCCGTGCTGCTGGGGTTACCTCTGCATCCTGCTCTCCAGCTGGGAGGCCAGCAAAGCTGCTGTCTGGAGACTCCGCTGGCAGCCCCTGCAGAAGAGCACAGTTTTTACAGGTCTCCCATCAAGCTCCTGACAGCAAACCCAAACCTTGTTCAGAACAAAATTGGTGTCAAATAGGAGGGTCAGAGCTAAGGGAATGTGCTGTTTTCTGCGGCACTCCCGGCACTTTGGGGGGGCTTTGCCGCCATGCATGGCAGATCTTTGGTTATGCTACTTTGGACATGTGTGTAAAGTACAGAGAAGCCAGGGTGGTTCCCGTCCTTTCCCTTACCTCTCCTTCTTCTGAGGGGGCCCTGCTGGCAGCCTGGGGGGAAGGGAGAGCCTCTCCCTCCTCTTCAGTGCCAGGGGCGATGTAGGAGCCAGACATGGAGGAGACGGTGTCGGTGCTGATCTGGGAGGATGCCATGGACATGACAGACTGGGCCAGACTGCTGCTGGTGCTGGCAGGGCCTTTGGAGACAGGGGATGGAGGAAGGAGACTAGCAGTCAGGCAGGGCTTCTGCAAGCTTTCTAGGGAGCAGAGCCCTCTCCCTACACTCAGGCAGTAGGGAGTGAAGTGGCCTTCCCTAAAAGTGGTTTTAGGTTTAAGGTTTTCCAATATTCTGCTCCTTTATATTTTAGAGCTCAGAGCTCAGCCTCGGGGACGAGACATTTGCTTTTCCCTGTCATAACCCTAAAGGAAGCCTCATGACAGCAGGACTGGGGCTGAGAGAACCAACACCCCCTAGCTACAGGCAAGCCCGCTAACCCATGGTAGGAAAGCAAGTCCTCTTCCCTCTCAAGCCAGGGCCTACCTGTCATGCTGCCCAGGTATTAGCTTGCCACTCCCATGTCCCTTCCCGGAGGAAATACCAGGATGCTGTGGCTGGGTAAGGGGCAAGGACATGCAGCCGCTCCCCACTCCTCATGTACCTTCTGGGGAGGAAATAGTGGACGACAGAGGCGTCCCTGTGCAAGACGACTGGTCAATAGCTCCAGATGATGACAAGGTGAGATTCTCACTTTCTGGAGTCACACCACATTCCTGGGGGGTGTGGGGGACACAACAGGACATGGAGCAAGCGCCAGTCACCTGTGCTGGAGGAAGGGATCAGGGCGGAGGTCTGGGTAGAGATGAGGAGGAAAGGCGACACTGGGAGGGACTGAGTGGCATGCAGAGGCCGCAGCTTCTCTCTTCCGTCCTCACTTCTCAGCCCAAGCCTGGAATGACTGCCTCCCAGGGGAGGCGCACACTTCAGTCAACACCTCCTGCCCAAGGCACAGCATCTGCTGGAGCCATACAAAGACTGCAGCTCAGGTGACACAGGTCACCCAGCAGCTGTGACATGGGGACACCCCAGGTTTCCCCAGGATTACGATCAGCTTTCCTTCTGAGGCAAAAGCATACAAAGCCAGAAGACGCCTCCCTGCCTGCAGGGTATCTTCACAGAGAGCGTAGTTAACTCCTGCTCAGCTGATTTCTGATACAAACACCACCTTGCTCCCAGCCTGCTGCTCCTCCCATGCCCCCACCTCCAATCCCAGCCCCCACCTGCCAGGCATCTGGACCCACAGCCTGACCCATCTGAGGTAGATGCAAAATTCTTTGGACTGTGTCTCCAAAATCCCTTCCCTTCCCTCCAGGCACTCCTCTTTTGTCTTAGTTCAGGCGGTCCCTCTTGCCTCAGCTACTGGTGCCCTTTCCTGGCCTAGTCTGTCTCCTGTCTAGTCCAGAGTGCACGCCGTAGTCGGGTGGGCCTTTGGGAAGTGAAGTGCTCACCACATCCCTGGCCTGCTCTGAGCCTCAAATTCCTGCTCTGTGCCTTTGCATGCACCATCCTATCTACATGGATGTTTCTCTCACCTTTTTCTCCTTGTCTAAAAAACTTCAAGGTTCAGCTAAAATGTTATTCCTCCATAACACATGTTCTGATCTCTTCCACTGATCTTATCCATCTCTGACACAGAAATTTATTGACTCTGTTTTGGGCACAATTCTTTTCTATAAAATTTACTTAGTCATTTAACAAATACTTACTGAGCAACAACAACGTGCCAGGCACGTGCTATTCCCATGCATGTGCCCTGTCCCAGCCAGACCTGAGCACCCATGGCCAGAGAGACCACTTTACCTTCCTATGCCCTGCTCTATCTAGCTCAGTGCCCTACACAAAAGAGGTGTATAAACTTTTGTTAAATGAGGTCTATGTGGGACACATAAGGTAGACAATTCCAGTCTTCTTCTTCCATTCCTCAACACAGGCCTCCCAGCAGCCCCCAATTAACCCCAGGGCTTTCCACTTGCTGTTCCCTGGCCTACGGCCCTCTCTCCTCCTATATCAGCATAGCTATTTCTTCCACTTCCCTTGGTCTTGGCTCCTGGACCACTTTTTAAGAATGGTAACGCCCACTTCCAGCCGTGACACTCCCTTCCCTGTTGTGTAACATGCTGATCCACAGTACCATCTGGCACACGTATATTTTTTTACTTATTGTCTTTTGTGTCCACCACCCCCATCCCAGCCAGCAAGAATATAAATGCTATGAGGGCAGGGACTTTTGTAGTTCCCCAGCTACTATCCTCAGCATACAGCACAGTGCCTGGCGAATAATACAGGCAGCAAATACTGATGGATGCATGATTCTAATGAAAGCTTTGCCGCTGCCTCAGAGGGTGTTGCAAAGGTGTTTGATGAGTGAATGAGAGCAGAGGGACCTGATGAGGCATGCAGGTAGGAGGAAAGTCCCTGGAGTACAACACCCAAGAAAAGGAGAAGAATGTCAATTACCTCTCCAAGATGCTGAGCTGACGGTCTCTGAGAGAGCTGTGTCTCTGACTCACTGCAGGAACGCTCATCTTCCTCTTCAGGCAGCACGGAAGAATTTTGGGAGATGGATCTGCAGGAGCCCAGAAGAAAAGCAGCTGTATCCAATGTCCATTTAAGAACAGTACTTACTGCGAGGAGAAGCTGAGGGGAAAACCCAAATCTTTTTTGTTTGCTTATTTTTTGAGACAGGGTCTCATTATGTTTCCCAGGCTGGACTCGGACTCCTGGGCTTCAGCAATCCTTTTGTTGACGTTTTTAACAGAGGAGGAGTACAGCCTCCTGAGTAGTTGGGATTACAAGTGTGGGCCAACCTGCCTGGCTCAAAACCCAAATCTTAAGCAGAACTAGGGAGGTAGAAAAGAGAACCAGAGAGGGATGGAGACCTCTCTGGGGCATCAGAAGTACTAAGTTTTACCTTTAGCTCCTTTCATGACTTGCTATCTAAACTTGGGAAAAGCCACTGCCATTTAGAGGATCTCAATATTTTCATCTGTAAAATGCCCTCCCCTTTACTCTGCCACAGAAAGCTTGTCATGATTTATGCCTAACTGGATTTAGATGTTTAAGATATATGGATCACAAGGTTCCTTCAGTTTTTGGACTAAGTAATGCTCCCGGGGGCCTGGATGGCCCTATCCACATTGTTCAATGTGCTCTTTCCTATATCCCATCCCCTACCCTTGAAAAAAAAAGAATACCTAAGAGATATGTCTAATCAGAATTTTCCTAAGTACCTACATACCATCTTATTTTCATCTCTTAAGGAATGGGATAATCTTCCCACAAGCAGCTCTTGGAACAGCCCAGAGGGTGACCCTGCCCTAAGGTCCCAGGATGTGAGCCAGCACCAAGGATGGTTAAAGTGTCTCATCAAGGATTCCGGGGGCAATACTATGGAGCACTAGCTACTCACTTGGAGAGACTCTTCTTGAGTTTGAGTCCTTGGCTGCCACAGTCAGACAGGCGATCAAGAGGGGAGATCGTCCTGATGGGGGGCAGGTGGCCATCACTGCCATATGACGGGAGCATTCCTGAGAGGTGGCCATCTCCAAGCACATGAAGTGGAGGAACTGCTGGGGATGGAGTGAGGGGCCCATTGAGGGCCTCCAGAAGAGATACTACTTCATAGCCTGGTGGAATATTCTCTGAGGACTAGGGAAATCAGAGACAGGTTGAAAAATTAATTAGGTCCTTTTTGTTTTATGGCATGCTCATGCTACTTACTCTACACTGAAAAAAATGTTTTCTTTTATATCTGTTCTGGGGAGCTCTGGTAAGAACAACTGTACTAGAGCAGAGATAAAATATCAAAGAACCACACATTGTAGATTCTGCTTATTGGTAAACCTTTTCTTAATAATCTCTATTTTTTCTGATTATAATGGAAACATGTTAATTATAGGAAATCTGGAAAATACATAAAAGTAGAAGGGGAAAAAAATCACCAGTAATCAATCACCCAAAGTTACTTTTGTTAGCATTCTGGTGTCTTTTCTTCCCATTTTTTTCTGTGTACTATTTACACAGTTTTGATCAATCTGTAAATAACAATTTTGTATTCTGCTTATTTTATTATACTTTCCTCTTTTTAAAAAAATAGAAGTGGGATCTCATTATGTTGCCCAGGCTGGTCTTGAACTCCTGGTCTCAAACAATCCTCCTGCGTTGGCCTCCCAAAGTGCTAAGATAATGGATGTGAGCCAACATGCTTGGCCAGACTTAAATATTTTCCTTTGTTTCTGAAGCCTCTTCATATATGTCCGCTTCTCATATATCCCTTAAGTTTTCTAACTATTCTAGTGGTGGTTATCTAGTGTCTAACACATCCTATTGTAAACAAGTTTTGAGGAACATCCTTGAATGCCTTTTTTTCAAATTATCTTCTTGTTATTAAATTCTTAGCTCTTAGATGATGAAGTATAAATGTTTTTAAGACTCTTGATATATACTGCTGTTTTCTGCTGTTTTGTTTATTTCAGTGCCTTTTCTAGTTACACTCTTATAAGTAATATGGAAGACCTATTTTGACTACTTCCCTGACAGCAGGGAGAATCACTAAAAATAAAAGTTTTTTTGGCCGGGCACGGTGGCTCAAGCCTGTAATCCCAGCACTTTGGGAGGCCGAGGCGGGTGGATCACAAGGTCAAGAGATCAAGACCATCCTGGTCAACATGGTGAAACCCCGTCTCTACTAAAACTACAAAAAATTAGCTGGGCATGGTGGTGCGTGCCTGTAGTCCCAGCTACTCAGGAGGCTGAGGCAGGAGAATTGCCTGAACCCAGGAGGCGGAGGTTGCGGTGAGCCGAGATCGCACCATTGTACTCCAGCCTGGGAAACATGAGTGAAACTCCGTCTCAAAAAAAAAAAAAAAAAAAGTTTTTAAAATTTGAAAGTTGAAAAATGGTATTCTCATATTTGCATATCATTGATTTTTAATGTGGTTGAACTTTAAAAAAAACTCTTTGTTGAGTATTTTTTGTTTATGCTCTTTGCCCATTTATCTACTGTTTCATTCAATATGAACTATGGCGAAGACATCAGCTTTTCCTCTGATACCTACATTGTAAATACTTTTTTAAAAAAAATACTATTTGTTGTCTACCTTTTAATTTTGGTCACCTTTTAGACCTCTGAAGTGATAAACTTTTAGATGATAAAATGTATGATTCTTAGTGGCTGGGCACGGTGGCTCATGCCTGTAATCCCAGCACTTCGGGAGGCCGAGGTGGGCGGATTATGAAGTCAAAAGATCGAGACCATGGTGAAACCCCATCTCTACTAAAAAATATAAAAATTAGCTGGGTGTGGTGATGCACGCCTGTGGTACCAGCTACTCGGGAGGCTGAGGCAGGAGAATTGCTTGAAACCGGGAGGCGGAAGTTGCAGTGAGCCGAGATTGCGCCACTGCACTCCAGCCTGGTGCCTGGCAACAGAGCAAGACTCTGTCTCAAAAAAAAAAAAAAAAGTATGATTCTTGCTTTCAAGCTTAGACAATCCTTTCCGATCCAAAGTCAACTAAATAATCATCTATAATTTATTCTAGGTTTTGGATGTTTTGTTTGGTCTTCTGTAATGTTTGTTTGGTTTGATGCTTTTAATATAGTTAACAAGTTACTCCAGCTGGAATTTACTTGGTAAGGAGTAAAGGGCTAAACTGATTTTTCCTTCTGAAATAGCTAACTAATTATCCCAGTATCACTCACTGAATAATGACCTCTCCCACCAGTGGGTTAATCTAAAGAAAGCAGTATCTGCCATTCTTTAACTGCAAAGCTTTGAGGTTTCACCCTAATATCAGCACTTACACTGGGACACTGAGGTCAGTTACTTTATCTCAGGCACTGAGGCCGCAAAACAGGCTAAAGAAAAACAGTTACTTACTTCAGGAATTCAAATAAAGATAATAAATTGTATTCAAATCCAAAACAATTGTCCCATTATTTCTCCCTGGGGGAGTTTGAGATGAACCTCACTGGACTTAAACTGCAAATAGATGGCTCTTGGAATGGTAAACATTAACTGGATACCAAGTTCCCAAGGAGGAAAAGGGAGGTTTTCATGACTAGTACTCAATTTTCCACAGTAATAATAGTTGGTTTTAATGCAAGCTCTCAGCTTGCTAAATACCGCAGCATGCCCAGCTCTAATTCCTTGCTGAAGTGCCATGTAGAGAAGCATGAAAGGTTTAAAAAAGCCAATGAGGCATCTGCTTCAGAGGGGCTGTGGTTCTGAGCCCAACTTACTGAATGCTCTTCAGAATCAGATGTCTGGGATGAGATGATGGGGTTAAAGCTGGTTGGGGACAATGGGCCCAATTTTTTCCTCATGGCTCGGATCTGAAGCAGTGCCCGGAAGGCTGTGAAGAAGAAAACAGGCAATCAGGACATCCTGATGCAGGATTAAGGATGAACAAGAGCCCAGACAGAAACCATGATCCCTCCTAGCGTGCATCCGTTTGCCCGATCCAGCAGCAGCACGTGCTTCGGGGTTTTGTAAATGTCCTCTTGTCCTCTCTCCCACCCACCAGTCCCCCGCCACTCTTGGGCTTACGCAGTCGGCAGATGGGGCAGTTGTTGGCCTGGTAGCGAAGGGTGTCTGCACAGGTGTTACAGAGGCAGAGGTGGCGACAGGGCAGAATCAAGGTGTCCCGGACATCCGAGAGACACACCACACACTCGGCACTGTTATCGCTCACTTCATCTTCAGCCACCTGGCCGAGGAGAAAGAAATTTAGCCAATGGCACAACGCCCTTCCTGTCCCATACTTTATTGACAAGGCAGCTTGTCTGAAGAGCTACGATAAGTAATAAGAACAATATCTGAATTGACATTGGACTTTGTTGTTTACCCAGTGCGTCCCCACACTTAGCTTCACTGCTTCTGGGAAGTGTTTATCTAAAGTCAAGAGGATGAGACTAACCACTCGAGATCCTCCTATGAGGCTCAGAGCTGGGCCTCTTGAGTCTCAGCTGAAGGGACCTAGGGGAGTACACAGATAAAGGAAAAGGAGCAACAAAAGGACCCTGGTAGGAAACCAAGTTGGACAGAGCTCTGTGGCAGAACAAAGCCAAACCAGCCTACTTTTCTCATTTCCAAAGTGGTACAGGCATAATGATCTGAAATGAGGAACAAGAAAATATCCTAAGACCTTACTGATTTCAGAGTTTGTCACACTAAATTCCTAGACGGTGTGACTTTATAAGATAATTTCTCCGTTGGCCTCCTGGAAAGAGTACATTCAGAATTTTGGATAAAACTTACTTTAGAATCTTGTGTGTTGTACTTGTTTTCAATTCCATAGATCTCCTGAAGGAGGTAGCTGACCCCGTCTACCTGAACAGCAAACAGAAAGGTTCAAGGATAGGCTGATTCTACTGAGAGACAGGAGTGGGAACTCCCTCCCCTTTTACCTCTTTTGGTAACCAAGGACTACCAATTCATTTAAAAAAAAAAAAAAAAATCAAAGGCCTAGACAAGTAAAGGATGCTTTTATTTACTTATGTTTTCTCTTTGAGAGAAGAAACAAAATCAAATATTTAATTTTCCCATCATTATATACAACAGGGAACATAAAATTTCATAAACACAATAATAATACTTGCACTAGAGCTTACTATTATGGATAATTAAGAAGGCACAGACTAGAAAAGGAACGGCAGGATAAATTAAGCCGATGACGCTAATTACCCTAAATTGGACCCTAATGCTTTGTCCTTTTGCTTGAAACGTTTCTCACTCTGGCATTTTAAATAAGACCTAAACCCAATGTTGGGAAATAAATCTTGTTCTTTCATTTCTCAAGTCCTTTGCTCAGATAAAGGCTTCCTCAACACCAACAATTCTGGAACAATTAAGACATCAAAAATCAGCATTCCTTTCAGGCCACCCAAGTAGTTTGTAATAGCTTGTAACATTCAAAAGCACTCCGTTTTTTTTTTTCTTTTCTTCTTTGATTGGGAAAAAAAAAAGGAAAAAGAGAGACTTAGCAAAAAGTAAAAAAAAAAAAATGAAAAGAGGGAGAGAGAAGACAAAAGGAAAGAATAAAAGGAAGGAAGGAGCCTAACGCACTAACAGCCTGTGGTCTTCAAATACTTACTACTTGTTTCTGTTTGAGGGGCTTGACACAGAAAGTTCCATCTGTGTGCTGGAATGAAAATACGAAAGTTACAAGGAAGGGAGGGCAACAAAGCACCAGGTTTTCTTCTGTTACGTCTCCCAGTTACAGTCGTCCCCCTCTTATCTGCAGTGTTGTTTGCCATGGTTTCAATTCCCCACGGTCAACCACTGTTTGAAAATATTACATACAATAAAATATTTTGAGAGACAGAAAGGCACATTCAGACTTTTATTACCTTATAGTTATAATTGTTTTAGTTTACTATTAGTTATTCTTAATCTCTCTCTGTGCCTAATGTAGGAATTAAACTTTACCATAGGTGTGGATGTAGTATAGGAAAAAACCATAGACTATACGAGGGTTCTGTACTATCTGCAGTTTCAGGTATCCACTGAGGGTCTTGGAACGTATCTCCTGAGGATAAGCGGGGGGATTATTGTACACATGTTCCTGGACACTTGCAGAATGGAATTACACAATCCTAATACTTTAAAGGTCTTACAATTATCCAGTCTAACCCTATTCTTCCCTCCCTCCCTCCCTTCCCTTCCTTCCTTCCTTTTTTTTTTCTTTTTTTTTTTTCTGAGACAGAGTCTTGCTCTATCACCCAGGCTGAAGTGCAGTGGCGCCATCTTGGCTGACAGAAACCCCGGCCTCCCGAGTTCAAACAATTCTCCTGCTTCAGCCTCCTGAGTAGCTGGGATTACAAGTGCCTGCCACCATGCCCAGCTAATTTCTGCATTTTTTTGTTGATGTGGAGTCTCGCTCTGTTGCCCAGCTGGAGTGCAGTAGCGAAATCTCGGCTCACTGCAACCTCCGCCTCTCGGGTTCAAGTGATTCTCCTGCCTCAGCCTCCCTAGTAGCTGGGACTACAGGCGCACGCCACCATGTCCAGCTAATTTTTATATTTTTAGTAGAGACGGGTTTTCACCATGTTTGCCAGATGGTCTCAATCTCCTGATCTCGTGATCCACCCAACTCAGCCTCCCAAAGTGCTGGGATTACAGGCATCTGTGCCTGGCCTTATCATTTTTGTATTTTTAACAGAGGCAGGGTTTTGCCATGTTTCCCAGGCTAGTCTTGAAATCTTGGCCTCAAGTGATCCACCCACCTTGGCCTCCCAAAGTGTTGGGATTACAGGTGTGAGCCACCATGTCTGGCCCAGTCTAACCCTTTCATTTTAAGGAGACTAAGGCCTAAGGAGTTGAAGGTCCTGTAGCAAGCTGGTGGCAGGGATGGACCTAGATTGGAGCATAGCCCCCACCTTGATGTTCTTTCACACCACAGTCTCTAGAGCCAGACCCATTCTGCTGAGCTCAGGCAGCCAGCAAATGGGTTACATGTGTCTCACATGAAAGAAAGGGCAAAAGGCAATAAATCAAGGTCCTCTAAAGTCACTCACCTTCTCAAAAGTACCCAGCAGTACATGGCAATGGCCAAAATACTCTGAAAGAAACAAAGGCACGTGAGTAAAGCAGCCCAAACGGCACACCTTGAAGCCCATGACCTTTTCTAATTCCCTGCAAGCTGGCAAACCAAATATGCCAGTTTGTCCCTAGAAGGGACACGTTATACAACCCACACTTTTTTTTTGAGACAAGGTCTTGCTCTGTTGCCCAGGCTGGAGTGTGGTGGCACGTTCTTGGTTCACTGTAGCCTCCACCTCCCAGGTTCCAGCTATTCTCCTGCCTCAGCCTTTCAGGTAGCTGGGATTACAGGCATGAGCTACCATGTATCTCGCTAATTTTTTGTATTTTTAGTAGAGTCGGGGTTTTACCATGTTGGCCAGGCTGGTCAACATGACCTCAGTTCATTTGCCCACCTCAGCCTCCAAAAGTGCTAGGATTACAGCACCATTATCAGCCACCACACTCTGCTAACCCACACTTTTTTGAGAGAGAGTCTCACTCTTTTGCCCAGGGTGAAGTGCAGTGGCACAATCTTGGCTCACTGCAACCTCCACCTTCTGGGTTCAAGTGATTCTCCTGCCTCAGCCTCCCAAGTAGTTGAGATTACAGGTATGAACTGCCATGCCCAGCTGATTTTGTATTTTTAGTAGAGATGGGGTTTCACCATGTTGCCCAGGCTGGTCTTGAACTCCTGACCTCAGGTGATCTACCCACCTCCACCTCCCAAAGTGCTGGGATTACAGCTGTGAGCTACTGCGCCCAGCCAAACCAACACTTTTCACATCAGCCCAGGAGCCTGAAGTCACAGAGTGAGAGAATGCAGAGACTGCCTGACCCACAGTCACAAACACCCACAAAGAAGGCATGTTATTCTGGGCCACAGCTGCTGCCAGGAATATGCCACAAAAGAGCAGTGTTGCCCAGCCACAGAGGACAGAAATCGCCCCTACCGTCTCCTTCATCTACCACGGCATGTACCACTAGAGGGTAAACCTCTCGGTCCAGATCAAAGCCAAGCTGAAGGGAAAGAAAAGGAAAGAAAAAAAAAAAGAAAGAGGACTTAACACATTTAGATGGCACAGTTAATCTCAGAAAGGGCGATACAGTCAAGAAGCACTAATCTCATCTCTGCTCCTCATTGATCAGCTTTATTAATTACCCAAGTTTGTTAATTGAGGGCAATCAGTTTCTTTTCAAAAATTTCTTAGATGTAAATAAAGCCCTCTAACCTATAGGTTTTTTTTTTCCTGGAGCATGACTTTCTCAAAGTATCCCAGGCTAATGTGCTATTTGGAATAGAAAAATTAATGAAGTTAGATATATCCTTGATGCAAAATAAGCAGAGCTTTAAAAGGACATGATGAAGTCACAAGGCTGAGAGGTAAGCATGGCCTTCAAGCATCTGAGCAGCCCCTTTGCTGTTGGCTGGAGTCCTAAGCCCCTTGGCCCTTCTGAGTCGACGTGGGAAACACTCCCCAGAGGCAGCTCACCTCCTCTTCAGCCCACTCGGAGGGATCCACGGTGTGGGAGGGCAGGCAGAACTGCTGACACACTCCTCGCTTGTAGTGCACAGTCTCCGACTGGAGGCTGTTGTCTTTGGGAATGTAGCTATTGATGCAAGTGGGAGGCAAAGGAAAAGTCAGTATCCGGCACAGATGGGTCTGACAACTTCCTCTGCTCATGCCTGCTCTCAATTATCAACAGGCTCTAGCAAAGAGAAGAAAGGGTCCTTTATAATCCATTTCCTTTGCTCTTGCTTGGTAACGTTCAACTTTTCTACTCAACCTACACATCCAAAGAGAAGTAGCTTACTAGATTTTTAACAGCATGTTAAGGACCCAGAGGACCATCCACCATTTGCCACTATACCAAGATGGCACAATTTGAAGGGAAAAGGTAGAGTAAGGCTTTGTAGAAGAAAATCTAAATTCAGAAACCAGATCTCATCTGGGTACAGAAAAGGAATGTTTTCTGCTCTTGCTGAGTGGATAAGACATGGACTCTGCCTATCTGGGAAGGAGGTGGCTCACCTGGTCTCCTGATCTTACCTGGCAATACCATTCTGGAACTCTTCCATGGCCTGGTAATAGATGGTAATGGCTACCCGAGCATCCGTGTCAAAGGTGAACTCAACATTGTAGTGGACTTTAGCTTTGCTGGCCTCTTCTCCAGGGCTCTTCACTTCCTCAGCACATCTAGAAAACCAGAGACTCAGCATTTGCAAGGGTAGCATATCGATGTTTTAAAATTTACCTTTTTTTTTTTTTTTAAATTTAGCAATACATTGTGGACTTCTCTAGATGATTGTAAGCATAGGTCTACCTCTTCATTCTGAATGATCACATAGTACTTTGTGATCAATATTGCTGGGCATTTAGGTTGCTTCTGATATTTCACAGTGCTACCATTACACCATTGCGCATTTGTCACTTTTGTTTTTATTTCAATAAAAGTTATTAATTATATAGTTTAAATAGTTTCCTCAAGACAAAAAACAGCAGGCCTTACTTCTTCCCTTTCCTCCTCTTCAGAGGACGCCCTTTTTAGTGATCATTTTGTCATTTACCCATGTTTCTAAAAAATATACTTGGGTTACGACTTCTTGATTTTTCAGTTTCAGGCACTGATTTCCTACTATGGAAACAAGGATTTCTCTTTCCTCACTCTGCTCCATATAGGAACTCCCCCATGCCCACAGTATAGCTGCATCATGATTTTATTATAATAGTCCAGTACATTCGTGTCTGCATTACTATGATTATATCAATATATAATCTATGATTATTTTTCTTTTCCTGCATAAATTTTTCTATTTTATTTTTATTTTTTGCTTTTTGCGTAACTTTTTCTTAGTGCTCATCCTGTTTTCTTTTTTCAGTTGCATAGTTTTCTGTACTTATCAGTAATTCCAACCCGGGCTCTCTGGGACTAAGTCTCTCAAGACGTTCAGATGCACAAGGTGGTCTATTCATTTCGTCTTCTTGAGGAGGTCCCTTCTGGAGTCCTCCGACTTGCTCCCATCTGTACTTGGCCTGCTGCACCTGGCTTCTAGCTGCTACCCTGGAATCTCTCCCCCTCCATCATCCTGGTGGGTCCCTTTTGCCTCTGTCCTCCTGTAGAAGTTCGTGTTTCCTGCACCTCAGGTCTTCATCTGTCTCAGGTTATTGGTAGAGCACGTTTTCTACCAGCTTCCTGAAAGAGGGTGTGTTGGGAAATAAACTTCTTGAAAGCTTTTATTCAACACTCACACTTCACTGAAAGTTTGGCTGAAAAAGATACTGAAAGCCTTTTCACCACGTTATTTTTCACCTTCCAGCATTGTTCCCAAAAAGTCTGAAGCTGTTCCAACTGCTGGTCCTTCTTCTGAAAGCTTATGGAAGTTGCTCTTTCTCATCCACTGTGTGGGCACTTGGTGGTCCTTTCCCTTTAGAAACATTTACCCTCTGGTTCTGAGAAATTTTTTCTTTTCTTTTTTTTTTTTAAAAAGACATTTATTCAGTGTCACGATCAGACTATTACATTTATTTTTATTTTTATTTTTTTTTGAGACGGAGTTTCACTCTTGTTACCCAGGCTGGAGTGCAATGGCGCGATCTCGGCTCACCGCAACCTCCGTCTCCTGGGTTCAGGCAATTCTCCTGCCTCAGCCTCCTGAGTAGCTGGGATTACAGGCACGCACCACCATGCCCAGCTAATGTTTTGTATTTTTAGTAGAGACGGGGTTTCACCATGTTGACCAAGATGGTCTCGATCTCTTGACCTCGTGATCCACCCGCCTCGGCCTCCCAAAGTGCTGGGATTATAGGCTTGAGCCACCGCGCCCGGCCCCAGACTATTACATTTAGCAATCAACAGCATGGGTGCAAAAAAAAAAAAAGAAAAGAAAAAAAAAAATCTACATTAAAACCCTTTGTTGGAATGCTTTACACTTTCCACAGAACAGAAACTAAATTAACCTGTTATACAATTAGTCACAAATACAGTCCTTGAGTTTTTGCCCATACACATGAGTATTTGTCTAAGTCATGTCTTCTTTGTAGCAGCTAGGCCCTGCCACCACTGTGCTTGGCTGAGTTCACAAATCTGTTGTAACCTGTAGCTTCCCTGTCACTTCTCTGGCTCTCCTCTCCTGCTAAGCTTTGTTTCCTAATTAAAATCTTCTGCCCCTGCCATAGCTACTGCTGCTACTGGAACCGCCATAGCCACCTTGGTTTCGTGGTTTGGCAAAGTATTGGCCGCCACCACCATAGGGGCCAGAGCTTCTGCCTCCAAAGGTTCCTCCCTTCATGGGTCCAAAATTTGAAGACTGATTGTTGTAACTGCCAAAATCATTATTGCTTCCACCACCTCTAAAATTGCCTCCATCATTACCAAATCCATTATAGCCATCCCCACTGCCACCATATCCACCACCACCACAGCTGCCACCAAAGCCACCACGACCACTTTAGTTTCTTCCACGACCAAAGTTGTCATTCCCACTGAAACCACCTCCACGACCACCACCAAAGTTTCCAGAACCACTTCGACCTCTTTGGCTGGATGAAGCACTAGCCATCTCTTTTTTTTTTTTTTTTTTTTT